AGGCTGGTCTTGAACTCACAGAGATCCACCTGCCTCTGCCTCCCGAGTGCTGGGATTAAAGGTATGTGCCACCAACCTGATGTCTGCAACCAGTACTCTTAATCACCGGACTACCTCTTCAGCCCCTTACCTGTGCTGTTTGGCTACACACACACACACACACACTCCTCTCTCTCTTTCAAAAATACATCCAGTAATATTGACTTTTTTTTTTTTTTTTGGTTTTTCGAGACAGGGTTTCTCTGTGGCTTTGGGGGCTGACCCGGAACTAGCTCTTGTAGACCAAGCTGGTCTTGAACTCACAGAGATCCACCTGCCTCTGCCTCCTGGGTACTGGGATTAAAGGCGTGCGCCACCAACACCCGGCTGCTTATTTTCTTAATATTTATTTATTTTTTGCCTGTCTTCTGATACAGTGTCACACAGTACAGTCCGTGCTGACATGGAACCCGCCATGTGACCAGGCCAGCCTTAAACTCACAGCAGTCAGTCCCCTGCCTCAGTACTAGGATTACAGTCGTGCACCACCATGCCTGCTCACTCTTTACCATACTGACTTCAGCTTGGAGATTTTCCGGGTACTACTGGGTTATACCATTTATCTGTCACCATGTAGTAAAACTGTCCAGCGGTGACATCTTGGCTTAAGACTCTCGTAACGTACATAGGAACAACACCGCTCTCTCTCACCAAAGCTCGTCAACCAACCAAGGCAGCAATCATGAGGCCACCGAGTCCTCAAATTGCACGCGTCAATTATCGTTTCTTGCCTATCATCCCCCACGCAATCCAGATTTGCCGTATCTGGTTTCCTTTCCCAAGCGGGTGCTTCTTCGGATGCCGGGGTTAATGAGGCAGGATATTGACAGTATAAATCCCACTGTTAGCTCAGCAGCCTTCACAATCGATTAGGGGCTTAATGAGCAGCTTCTTGAGCAGTCTCCAGCCTCGTCACTGTTAGACTGCGAGGCTCTACCCTTGGGAGGGCACGAAGGAACTCCCATCCATCCCCTCAACCCCAACTCTCTGTAACGCTCTCAATGGCTCCCCGATGGCCACAGGGGACGGGCGGGTTAGCAGGGAGACCTTA